TATAGTTGTATTTTTATATAAGTTATACACCATGTGTAGACTTATATATTAAAAGAAAAATTAGATCTTTAACTTGAGATACTTTACCTGCTGGGTGAAGATATCCATATGCTTCATTTTTTTTTTGTTTTAGTGATAAAATGATCTGAAACAATATATGCCTTGTAAGTTATTACCTGTGAACTTATTATGCTCCATATGTGAAATTAGAGGGTATTGTTTAGTGTAACTGAATGATTGTATTTCATATAAATTTCTTCCACTAAACTTTGTTGTAAACACTTTACCTGAGAACCAGTTTATAGAAATCTAATTATAAAATACATGAATATATTGTTTTAAAGTTGCTTTATGAAATTTTCAATATACTATAATAAGATATTTTTATGATTATAAGGTCTAGAGAAGAAAAAGATACAAATTGGTTCCAAATATGCTATTAATTCTACAATGTATTTTTAAGAAAGATTATATCTCCAGTATAGAAAAATTGAAAATAAGGTGTGATAACTGTCAAAATAAGTGATCTGAATTAACATTTAGAAACTCATTTTCACTTCTTTGTTCTCAAGGTCCTATTGTTTCAGTAAGACAGAAAAGCAATAATCTCTTTAAAGAAACAAGGGGAGAACACAAGATTTCACTACTACTTTGCTTTTTTTTATTTTTATTTTTACAAGAAGAAACATGATATCATTTTGAGAATTACAACTAACATACTATAATATTAATTTACTTTTTCTGGAATGCCGCAGAAATTTCTAACATTAATGGAAGGAAAGAAGGGTGTTTTGACCCCCAAATTGTTTTGGTCTGTGTGTATATTTCTAAGTTGGCAGAGCCATGTGCCCCATTTCACAGGACCTGAGCTGTTAGCTGGCTTCACAGAACCAGGAGATCATGTAGCCTACTTCCTCCTACTGGTGCTCTCATCTCTCAACACGGTTTGCTTTAAGTTTGTTAAAGTTCACGTAGGTTAAACTAAAACACCTTAACATAGATTCTTTCCCATGCATGTTCATGATATTTTGCTTATTTTTAAAAACCCAAATTGTCCTCTTTTTCCTAGCTCTTCACCTGAGAGACTATGAAGACATTATCCCTGCTGTTGAGATCTACTCTCTGTTAGCACTCTGTGCATGTGCCAGCAGAGCTTTTGGTACTTGCTCCAAAGCTTTCATTAAGCTTGAATCTTTAGACACCCTCAGTACAGAACAGAAACAGCAATATGAAGACCTTGCTCTAGAAATCTTCACCAAACATACTCCAAAAGATAACAGAAAATCTGACTTGGATAGCCTTCTGGAAGGGTAGGCTGATTGTAGTTACTAGATTACCTTATTAGAAGCTTGGATTTCTGTATGTCTAATTATTAAAGCACTACATTTTTAAGCAATTTACGTTAACATTATACCCTAATTTATTTAGTCTTATGAATGTATTAATGCTTTATTTTTGCTTTGTAAAAATTTTTACTTGAAAAAACTTTTTGAAATGAAAGTATTTTATTGGAAGTTAATCTTGAAT